TCATGGAAGTGGCTTAAACGTCACACATTTTCATACTGTTAAATTAATTTCTAAAAAAAGTGTTATTTATCCTCACCGTAATGTCATCAGTGACAATGAAACAGCAAATCCCTAGGCAGGTTGCACACTAGATGCAAAAGAAAAAAAGTGTCAGTATTTGGCATTAATGTTACTATTGACAAAACCTTCAACTCTGACCTCTGAAATTCAACATCTGGAATAATGGAAACTTGAGATTTAGACCTTAGCAGAGTAGAAGTCTTCAACACTGTTGAACTCAGCTACGCTGTAACAGCCCTCAGATCATGCCTACTCTCAGGATGATTTTACAACAAACGCTACTCACAAGCCCTCGCTTTTCATGCTGTACTATTTAATACAGCTTACAAAACAAAGCCCCTCTGAAAAGTTTCATGTAGCACTCTTTTTACCCAATTATTTAAAATCCCACTAGGATTCACTAGCAGAAATTATGCTGATGAACAGTAACAGACATGCTATTTCTTCAGAGCTCTGGGGAGTATTCTCCCCTCTCTGCCCACTATTACAATTAAATCGCATGAAAATACTGGACTTAAGAGTCCTTCTTGGCACTTTCCAACTCTTACTGGAAGGTCCTACACATCTCTTCCCTATCCCCCGTATTCTACTCAGCCTCCTCTTGGAGTAAGAAAACGTTTGAAAGTGATGGTTGCACTGACCACAAAGGTCTCAAAACTACACTTAGAACTGGATGAGCTTTAATAGCTTTTGTTTGTAGAAACAGCTGCTGTTGAACTAATACTACCTCCTCTTCCAGCTGACAGCATCTAGTGTAACACAGCTTGGTAAAATACAAGTAGCCAGCTATGTAATGATAAAGGCAAGTTGGAAAAATGAGAGGTAAAAACTCTGAAATTAAAAAAACCCAACCAAAACCAAACACAAGAACACCCCACACCACCAAAACCACCACCGTTGGCAAGAGCTTTAGACTGTCTTCAGTCAACATTTCAAGTACACCGCTGATGTATATATAGATGCAATGACTGGGTGAAAAACAGCAGTATGAATGCATCAAGTATGTCTGCTACATGTAATTTTATCATATATGAATATATCTGGGTAACTAACATTCCTCTGCTGTTAAAATTAATACAGGAAGGATGCATCCATCAGTGGGAAAGTCTTAATTGTTTTCTATAGGACTTTTAACACGAGCTCTCAGAACTGCAGTAAGGAGACTGCAACATAGTGAGTCAAGACACTTACAGTATTACATGTAACAGCTCTTTAAGGAAGTTCCTAGGCTGACAAAGAGAATTACGTTCAACCCTTCTAAGCCAGTGAAAACTGCCCAGAGTGTATGTCAACATCATGAGTTTACACTAGTGTATTAGCCTCGAGTTCTGGATTGCACAACAGTGAGCTGGATAAAAACTGCCCTTTGTCCCTGCCTAACAAACATTTTACACTTACAGCCTGTCTGGCTTGAATACTGGCTGTTCCATCACAGACAATCTTCTTCAGAACTGGACCAAGGGTCTTAAAAATCTCTTCGCTTTCAATTCCTGACCCCATCTGCACACACAGAAGACATGCCAGTCCGGCAGCTGCACACTGTTCGTCGCTCTTACCTAGAGATTAACATGCTATGATGAGTAATCACCTTGTGCATTGCTTTCTCCCTTTACAGACAGTTAGTCTGAAAACTTGCAAGTGGAAACTCAGAAACCAACAGACAAAAGAAAATTTCAGTTAATTTTTTAAGTCAGTTAAAACAGAACATCTAAATTCAAAAGAGGAATGTTAACGTAACTAAATGTTAACTAAATGCATCCTATAAAGTACTAAAGAAGCATTTTAAACAGGAAGTTATTTCATAGGGATTATTGCTTTCTAATAGCACTCACGTTAATTACCTTTCTTTATGCAGCGTTCAATGCTATCAGTCAGTGTCATTCTCCTTTCCATGATAAATTCATACAGTATTTTAGAAGAAAAAGCACTTTTCAGACTTTCAAGAGCTGCTTGTCTTGTCTTTGCACTGTTAGAAGAGAGAAGGAAGACCTGAAATCAGCGCATGTCAGTTAAAGCTCAGCCTTGGTTTCTATTGCAGTTTAGATTTGTCCACACCCACAAAGGAGCAACGCACAGCAGTACCAAGAAATATGGAATGCTATGAACTGCCTCCTTCCTCAAGGACAGAGAAACTTCGGCTGGAATTCTCCGTAGTACACCAAGCCAGAAATGAAGTCACTCTACGTCAAGCTATTAGGAAAGGAAGGTCTGACTCTCACTAATCCAAAACCTTGGTAGAGGGAGAAAGGTCTTTTCAGACCCAGAAGAAAATCAAGTCCTCCCCAGCATGAAATAACTGTAATTTCAGTAAGCATATAAAAAAGTTATGTTATTTCCCTTATGATACCAGAAGAAGCCAGAAAACAACATATGGATGTGTTTCTTCAAAGCATACTATACCTCTTGTCCAATGTAAGATCAATAAATCCCTTCAATTTGTATTCTAAGTCTTCTTGAGTGGCTTCTTCATCAACTTCAGGCCCTAATCCAGAGGAAAAGAATTAGTCCTGACATATATTTTATTAGCAGACACAGTAGTATCCAACACAACATTTTTAATACTAATAAGAAAGCAGTTTAACACAGATAACAGCTGTAGAATCGTTCCGTATCACAGCAACGGAACGGCATTAAGCCTACTACATCAAACTGCCCCTTAAAATACTGTTATGAAAACTGATCTATTGACACATCTGTGCTGTTTCTATACCTGCTCCTCACACGTGCCTAGAGTGAAGGAGGGAACCAACTGGGTCTCTACATTAATTTGCTGCCGCTGATGCCTATCTTGTCAGCAATATGTTTTCACCCAGCCTGCTACATCCACCCCTGGAGCAGATCGGGGTGTTTGCTGCTGATGCGGTCAGTACTGTCTGAGCAGCCCCTCCTACTGACATCGCTTCAGCTGCCTCTGCAACAGCAGCTCCGTTAGGAGTAGCAAGTTTTCACAGGGAAGGCTCCCTGCCTTAGCCCCCTGTAGCAGGCTTTCAGGTCCCCTCCTCAGAATAAAATGGTATCAGAGCAGCCCAGGTGGCAGAAATGGTAGTGGTGACACAGCATCAACCTTGTTCAAGACAGGCAAATGTGATTCTTTACATCCCAAACTCTTCTACAGTTCTTACCAACTCAACTATGCGTTAGGAAAAATCCATGTCTTATAATACACCCTAAAACTCCTCGTCTCCAAAACTTGGCATTGAGTAATTCTAATAGAAGTCTAACAGTTCCCAGAGAGGCTTGTGAAACCTGTAGTGTATCCCTACCACACAAAACGATAGCACCAGATTAATGATCACAGAGTGTTTAACAGAAAGTCATCGTTTTGCTACTGCTACTCACAGTCTAGTACTTAATCTTAAATCAGCTCAGGTCTTATGTTTTGAAAAACATGAAATGATATAATAAATAAAAGAATATACCATCCTCAGTGAAGCTAGCAGGATCACTGAAGCCACTGCAGTGGCTCATAGTTTCAATTGAAGCATCTTCATCACTAAAAGGCTGCACATTTCTGGGCTGACCACCTTAAGGAAAGATGAACACCACAGTTTGGTCATTTTTCATAAGCAAAAGGAAGATTTAAACAACAAAAGTAGAATCCAACCCTCCCGATGGACTCATTCTCCCTGACCCAGACACAGAAAACACATTTCTTTCCTTTGCGAGGCTCCTGACTCACACACTCCGTAAGATCTTTCGTGAATGGTGGGGAAGAGCTCACCTAGTTTTCAAAGTTCTGGTAGAATCCCTAACTCCAGGTTCGGGATTTCTCTAGAGTCGACTTCAAGTTAATGCAACTTCCGGTGACTGTGCTCTAGAAACAGCTCTATTTAATTTAACTGTTAGGACAAACTACCTAAAAAAATTAGGCATACAAACTTTATTTTTCAATTTTGAGGGACTTCAAGCCAGGATACACACTTAGGCAAACATACATTACCCAGTTCAATGCAGGATTTACAGGATCAAGTGTAGTATGTGCAGCATCAGCAATGTCCAACCCTATTTTCATACTGAATTACAAATATAAGCCAGAACATCAAATGCTTCAACAGGGGAAAAAAGTTTTCCCTCTCAGGATCAAGGCATTCTCAGTTCAGTAACTTCAGTCTTCTTAAAAACAACAGTATTATTTTCACCAGTGCTCATCTCTACAGCTTTTCACACCTATGTCTTGTGCTACACATTAAGAGTTGGAGGAGTTTAACCTGACAACACTGTAATTTCTACCATTGTCCTATCCTAGTCCTTAATTTTCCCTTACTGAAGTTGACTAAAGAATCGTTTTACTGTTATTTCTCAAAATGTCACTTACAGGAGTCAGAATTCTGCTCTTCCACGTATTTTTCTGTGGTGTGATTGATTCTAAATTATTTAACAAGGCAGTGCACAGTGCTTGCCAGCTTCAGGTCACTTCCTGACTACCAAGGCCCCCAAAAAGCAATTTAACTAGGCAGATACAAACTTGAGTTGACCACTACCAAAGTGCTTTCCAATAAATTCATGCTTCAGAGGTTTTGCAGCTCTTAGCTACAAACCACCTACTGGTATCACTGACCATAACCCTGGACGTCTCCTGTAGTTACGAAGGACAAACATCAGCTAACACACAGACAGAGAAACTTGGCAGCTCAGAGCCGTGGCACAGCGCCGTTCTCACTTCTAGTGATGTCAAGCAGGGAAGTTCAACAGGACAAAGGGCAATAATGACTGCCAGCCCTTCGTAAACTAAAATAAAAGCAGTTGCCGAGAGATCCAGTGAATTGGTCACTTCCCAACCATTTGATACAGAGAGACAGACTCTGCTCACAGCTATGGTCGCCTGAAGTGACTTTTCTCACCACCCCACAACATCCCCATTCTAACAGGGGTCAAGCCGCACACTTTCTGCGCCTGTATGCAGACTCTTTACTTTCCAACGTCCTCTTTTAAGCTAAGAAGTTGGGAGTTTTAAGATACTGCAGCCTTTCGGCGCACCATGCGCTGACATGCAGCCACACCA